GGTCCAGTGTCGCATGAGGTATCCCATTCCCATCTGTCACTCATTCCCGGGATCACAGCCAGGAGCCTGTCGGGACAACCCCTGGGGTGTCACCTTTCCCTGCTATCACCTTCCCTGGGGACATCCCATCCCTGGAGCGCTGCCACCAGGGCTTGGTGGCCCAGAGGACATCTCTGAGCTGGATTTTGGGATGTGCCTAAGCTGCTCCTGTGTCATTCCAGGTGGGCTGATAATCTCAGTGCTCCTGGCTGTGAGGGGACACAGGAGCACAGATTCCAACACCCATTCCTGCAGGTGAGATCCCGTTCCAGCTTCCAGCCCCTAATTCCAGCTTCCAGCCCCTTCCCATCCCTGATATCCTTATTCCAGCTTCCACCTCTCTCATTCCAACTTCCAGCCCCTTCCCACCTTCCATCCTCCTTATTCCAGCATTCAGGCCCCTTCCCACTCCTGATCCCGCTCATTCCAGCTTCCAGCCTCTTCCCATCCCTGATCTCCTTATTCCAGCTTCCACCTCTCTCATTCCAACTTCCAGCCCCTTCCCACCTTCCATCCTCCTTTTCCAGCTTCCAGGCCCCATTCCAGTTCCCAAACCCCTTCCCACCCTGATCTCCCTTATTCCAGTTCCCAAGCCCCTTCCCACTCCTGATCCCACTCATTCCAGCTTCCAGACCCTTTTCACCCCTGATCCCCCTAATTCCTCCTTCCACCCCCCTAATTCCAGCTCCCAGCCCCTTCCCACTTTGCATCCCCCTTATTCCAGCTCCCAGCCCCTTCTCAGTGCTGATCCCCCTTATCCCACCTCCCACTCCCCAAACCATTCCCCCCCTCACCTCCCTCTCCCCCAGGCCGTTGGGATGTTCCTGGGGGAGTTTTCCTGCCTCCTAGTGTATTTCCTGCTGGTTTTCCGGGATCAGAGGCGTGCAGAGCCCTCCATGGCCCCATCCCAAGGCTTCAGCCCACTGGTGTTCCTGCCCCCTGCCCTCTGCGACATGACTGGGACCAGTATCATGTACGTGGGTGAGTGCTGGGATGGACACTGCCCACGGGCCTGCTCCCAGTGGGAATTAGCCTTC